GCGGGTTTGTTGGTTTTCGCAGTGGGCAATATATGGCCGCTACCGATGAGATTCACATCACGATTCATGGAAAGGGCGGACATGCGGCCTTGCCACACCAGACCGTCGATCCGATCACTATTGCGGCCCAGGTGATCAGCAGCTTACAGCAAGTAGTATCGCGCAAGAGCAATCCTATATCGCCATCCGTACTCAGCTTTGGTATGATCGCCGGGGGGACTGTGAATAATGTAATACCGGACAATGTAGAGCTGGCCGGCACCTTACGGACGATGGACGAGGCCTGGCGCGAAGAAGCACATCGCCTGATCCATAGTATTGTGCAGCATACCTGTGAGGCATTTGGGGCTACCGCCACCATTATTATTCCCAAAGGTTATCCGTCGCTTTATAATGATCCGGAACTTACCGCTAAGGCAGAAGCCCTGGCAAAAGAGTACCTGGGAGAGTCGCAGGTAACAACACTGGCCCTGCGTATGACCGCCGATGACTTTGCCTTTTACGGGCACGAGGTGCCGGGCTGCTTTTTCCGTATCGGCACCAATAAAAATGGAGAAGAATTTACCGCATCCGTGCACAACCCTCATTTTGACATACACGAAGAGGCGATGATCACGGCTATTGGTACCATGGCCTGGCTGGCGGTGAACGCCGTGAAATAATTTTAAGGCTGTTGTTGAGCGGGGCGGCCAACGCAGGATTTTTTTAATCCTGCGTAACCTGGGTTTGGATTTGCAATCCAAATCTTAAAGTATCGCCGTCAATTCCTGCAAATGTGCAATTTCAAAAGTAGGCTTCCGGTCATGTTTTAGCCGTTGCGGGTTATAATAAACCTGGTCCCAGCCGGCATTGATAGCGCCAAGAATATCAATATCAATCGCATCGCCGATCATCAGTGCATCCGTACATTGAGCGCCCGTACAGCGCAGGGCGTATTCAAAGATAGCGGCATGAGGTTTCATGCTATTGCTTTTTTCAGAGGTCACCACTTCGCGGAAATACCCGCCAATACCGGCGTATTGCAGTTTTTGCCGCTGAGACATCTCAAAGCCAT